TGACAAATTTAGATGTATGAAAGTGAGCTGACATGATTAATATAAAAAGCTTTTGATGATTCATCCATGATTTATTCCATTTATGTAAGTCATGACTTAAGGTGTTTCCAGAAAAGACTGATTATGCAATTGCCTTGTTTCATTTATAGATTTATATGGGGAATCCAAGTGAACACCTTCTACTTTTAACTCCTCTGTTTTCTCATTGGTTGTTCCATCTTTTCTTTTGCTGAAGAAGAGGCATTGCAAGCTGCCTTTTGATGTGTGAGCCTGTGAATTCACTGCCCAAGTGATGAACTAATACGACATAGTGTTTCAGTACTTGTTGCTGCCTCTCAGTTTAGGCCACTGAAGAGTTATGAAGATAAAATGGGGATTCAGGAACCACATTCTGTAGCTTCTTGAAACCAAAGATAACAAATCTGAGCAAGCCTAGAAAGAGATGTATAACTTCCATAAAATATATGTTCATGGAAATGCATACCAGCAGAGGATTGCCAAGAGGGGGCAGTTATGTGATAGAATTATCAAGTAGAGGAATTGCAGGCTAACACATGAAGGGTATCAGGTGGGTGGAAAGTCAGGAAATTTATAAATATAGTTTCTTTCTTTCACTATTCCATTCCTAACAGGGAGTCTATGTGCTCCTAAGCAGCACAGATGCACTGCATCAGATCAGCCATAATTCATTCTAGGAAACCCATTAAATGGAAAGCCCAGAAGAGCAAAGAAGATCCACCAAAGCTGCTCAAAGTGACTCAGGTTTTGCTCACTAATTTGACAAAATTGGCAAATTGCAATATACTTTTTAAAAACAGAAATACAGAAAGGTGGTTGAAACAAGTCAATCTTCCATCTTTGGAAGAATTATCTCCATAATATTATACTTACTACAAGGATGGCAACTCTATAGATACTACAGACTTCTGACTATATTAGCTTGCTGATTGGGGTGAACTATAATCAAAAGGGAAGGCACAGATTTTACGTCTTTCCTTTACGCTGACAAGCAACAGCTCTCCTGAGGCTTCAGGGAGGGCTTCAACTTTCCCAGCCTAACTAGGAATTGACAAAGATCAATAATTTTTTTGTATGCAAAGCAAGTCCTCTGTCAGTGAACAATGGCTCTTTCATCCAAACCCACTTAGGGGAGGTATAGATACCATAATACTGTTATGCCGTAACACTCACTTCTTAAAAATCATTTGGGGTGGAGGGGAGGGAGATGGTTCTTATTTATTATAATTGACAAAGTTGTTGAGAAGCTGAATAAAGTGTGATAGATCCAACATTGTCTGCCCTGGATGTTCATTAGTAACAATGTTTTGAGGACAGGGGGAAAAAATCCCTAAATCATAGTTTATAAATGCTTTCACTGCTTCTTCCTGCTATTACCCCTGCCTAACTTTCACAATAGCCAAAAGCAGATTTAGTGATATATTGAATAAACTGAAATAATTACTCAGTTAAACCTCATTCATTTCAAAATTTTGATGAAGCTCCAATCTAATTTAATCAATCAAATCTCTGGGTAGCATATGGTCCTTCAGCCTCAAGCTCTGCACTTATAGCATTAGAGATGCAAACATTGGGGGTGGGGTGGGGGAGTCTATTATATGTCAGTTCATGTCCAACTTCTAAAAACACCCAATTCCTGGAAAGCTCAAATACAATGCCATATTCCCTAACTGCAATATTCGGAAGTACTGTTGCATATGTAGCTAAAACACCATCACTCACACACAAGAGGGAGCATCTGGTAGGCACAGGGAGGAAACACTTCAAAGGGTTGGGTAGGTGGGAAAGAATCCCTAAGAAATAGATTATGCCACACATGTCACTAAACACATTGGGTGTTCTGATTTGCAGGAGGGGAAACAAGCAACACTGGAAATCATATGAAAGAACAAATATAACAGTATATTTAGAACAAATACTCTTGGTGCAACATAATTCCATTTCCCAAACGAGACTCCTAGGAACCTTCAACAAGATTGGATGTTAAGACAGCCTTCCTCAGTCTGGCACCCATCCAGATACATTGGCCCACAATTTGCATTCTCAGCCTATTGAACAAGTCTAGCAACCATCTTCTGGTCTTCAACCAGAAGCTACTGGAAATTGCTCTCCTCCTTCAGTTATCTAAGGTCCAGAGTAATTATCTGTTCTCTAATCCTACCGAGAATGTTTATTTGGTCTTTCTCCCTTCTTTATTCCAGTGCTTTCTCCCCTACCCTATAACCAGCTGATTTGCTAAAGCTCAGGAAAAAAAAATCACACAATTAGTAAGAACGACATTCAACCAGGAAAATATTTCAGGCTAAGGTGGACTGGCTATCATGACAATTGTTGGGCATGATAGGAACGAAGGAGAAATCTGAAGTTGTGAGGAAAGGGCATTTGCTGATAGGATTGGAAGGAATGGCTGCTGCACACCTGACTGCCCTAATTAGCCACCAGCTCGATGAATAAGAGCCTAGCTAAAAATATGCACAGAAAGGGAGAAGAAGAAAAGCAAAGACGAGTTGCTCTTTGAGAGAGCTGAAGGAATGGGGAGGGGGAAGAATGGGAGGAGGGAGAACCCAATAGGTGAATGTCTGTAAGAAATCTACTGAAACCACCCACTCCCATATTCTCTTTAGGTTTTACCAACTCCTCCCTTGTTGATGATATTTCCCATTTTTCACCTCTGCCCACACAAATCCTTTTATATCATCCGTTCTTCAGACACTGTGCACATATTTAAGTATCCAAAACATTTAATAGCCTCCCTGCCCTTATATTTTGGAAGCAGGACATTTTGAAGACAGAGCACAGAAGAGATACGTGAGTGCATTTCCACCATTATTATTTTTTTTTGCAAGCAAAAAGCAAGGGAATTGGGTGGAGAACCTTTCTGAATCTTGTATTATCTACAGATCTGGCAGTGAACAGGCCATAAGTGAAGGTCATGAGCTGTGAAAGCTCACCTTAATTAGGAACGTATTAAAGAAGAAACTATTCTTGCACATCCTATGAATGATCATCAGTGCTACTTCTATGTGCCTAGATAATGATAAGGCTGCAGTTATACCAAATTTCTCCAGAGTTTGTGTTTCACAATGAAAGCACATTGTAAGTCTTGTCCAGCAGGTTATATTGCTCTCCTGATCTTGTTCATAACTCAATATTTATGAATATACATGCAGCTAAGTGCTTATATATGGAACAATAATTCAGAATGCTTTCTACTACATTTCTTAGCCTCAAAATATCCCCTGTACTTTCTCAGGAGTAAAATAGTGATGTTTCCATGGGCACTAACCACAGACAATTTCAGGAGTACAAACCAAACTGTGTGTTTAACTAATGGGAAATCTCTTTTATAAATATGCGGCGAATGAGACGACTCACTGCAGCCAGGTAGGCGTGTCTGGGTGGGTGTGGCCAGGTTGACACGGAGGTTTAGGTACTTCGCATACACTTATAATCTGTTGATTAGAATTGTGCTCTTGTTGATTAAACACTTTAGCTGGTCAGAATAGTGCCTGAACATTTGCTTCATATTTTTGAGTTATGTAAGAATTAGAAGCTAAATAGAAAAAAAAAAAGTTGTAAACTGGGTGCTAGGAAATATTAGACTTTTTAAATTGGAGGCTTGGTTTAGTAGTCACTCTAACCTAACAATGAATCTGAGAATGGTGAAAAATATAATTTCAACCTAACAGTAGTTGTGCTAAAAAAGGATTGCGGGGATTGCCATTTGCTGTGAACTTAACCAGCAATTGCTTTTTTAAATAAGCAGAGAAAACTTCAACCCTGTCTGCTTCTCATCCTAAAAGCTAGGAGGGATTGAAATCATCTTCATGTCCCAACCAGCTGCTGCTTCAGGGACATTTTATTTCTTTTATTATAATTAAAAAAATAATTGTATCTTCTTCCTAAGTGTTGTAACACTGAATTGTAACCAAAAGTGTTTTCAGTGGGAGCAAATGAAGCAAATGAGTGTAATCAGTGGTGGGTTTCTACCAGTTCAGGCGAACCAGTAGCAGTGGTGGGAGACTCCGCCCACCCGCCTGGACTCATCACAGATGCTTTGCATGCGCTCAAAGTTCCGAACTGGTACCGAAGGTAAGTGAAACCCACTACTGAGTGCAATGCTCTCTTTCTCATTTTGTCTTCACTCCAATGGGACCATCACAATCTGAATGGTACTCAGGAGGGATATCAACAAATGGAGCACAGCTGTGCTACTGTGTTCTTTTGTGCATCTATCTGGGCTCTCCTCAGTCAAAGAACAAAATTGACTTTCATAGTGTGGAAATCTTTATAAAAAAACCTTCCCCCCTCCTTTTGAGGCAACTATTGTTATTGATTCATGAATATACAATAGCTGAGCAATGCAGCTGCATTGATTGACTGAATTGATGAAGTGCACCAAGCTAAAATGCCGCATGCAAGTATTGAAGAGCTTGATTAACCAAATGAGACTGCTGAATTTTGTGACTAATTCAATTACAATGAATTTAATCCCTTGAGCGATTTGCATTATTGGTTAGAGTTTACCATTTTAACTCAAAAGCCTGGAATGTATCATTCAAGGAGACGTCACTTCTCACATAATCAAGCAGAGGAAGTCCTCAGCTTACAACCTTAATTGTAACTAGACTTTCTGTTGCTAAATAAGAGAGTTACATCTGATTTTTATGACCTTTGTTGCCATGGTTGTTAAGCAATCACCCCAGTTGTTAAGTGAATTATGCAGTTGTTAAGCAAATCTGGCTTTCCCCCATTGACTTTGTGTGTTAGAAGACAACTGAGAAGGTCGCAATCACATGACCCCAGGACACTGCAACCAACATAATTATTTTGAGACCTGAATTTGGATCACATAATTACGTGGATGTTGTGACAATTAAAAGGAATGGTTGTAATTCACTGTTTTCAGTGCCATTGTAACATCAATTGGTGGCCAAATGAATGGTTGTAAGTCAAGGGCTACCTGTAACAGCTCCACTTACCGAACTGGCTTCCATGATGTCCCGCCAGAGGGGAGCATCATTGTCCCGCTCAGCAATCTCCAGCAGGTTGTCCAGGACGACTTGGCCAATCATATCATGACGGGAGAAGCGGTCAAAATCATAGACACTAAAATGAAGCTTACGCGAGGGCAGTTCAGCAAAGGGGACGTTGAAGTTAAAGGTCTCATTGAAAATAGGATTGAGGGTTTTGCGATGCACCTTTGTCTGGAATTTCTTTTTACGGTCAGGCAGAAGGTACATTTTCACATAGGGGTCAGAGAAACCATTCGCATCTTTGGCAGGTAGGTCCAAAGCCCGGAGTATCCTGACCACCAGCTGCTCCGTGCCATAGGCGTAACGGAGGGCAAAACTCAATTGTCCACAGCTTGGAGCCTCCCCTTTCTTAGAGTCTGCCTCACCTGACCGCTGTTTATACAGTTCAGGTTTTATCTGCCCAATGCTGGTCACTTGTTCCACCTTGTCTTCTCCACCATGGACTCCAGTGTCTGGGCTGCTCAATTGCTGGGTCACAGGACGTGGCAGTGTATTGTACCTGGAGGGAAGAGTAAACAAAAGAATACAGCCAGACATAACCACATGTCCATTAAATTCACCCTAGAAATCAATACTCCTCTGTCCAGGATAGAATTACATCTTTCAACACTCTTGCTTTAAATTTTCAGAAGGGTAACAAATATCTCTTGGTCTACAGATGAACTTAAATTAATTTAAAATTTGAATCAGAATTAGTTAATTCATTAAAATCACTGAGATTTACACAACTTACATTAAATGCCACTGCATTCAGACAATACGTTGTTAATATACCTAAATCTGGATCTATTGCAGGGGTGAAATGCTCCCAGTTCGGACTGGATCGCCCGATCCAGTAGCGATGGAGGTGGGTGGTTCGGAGAACCGATAGCAAAAATCCCTGCCCCCACCCCATTGCCCAGCTGAGCCACGCAATCATCAGAGGCTTTTTTTTTAAAATTATTTTTAAAAGCATTTTTTCTACAACCTCTTTGGCCGAAAAAATGCTTTTAAAAGTAAAAAAAAAAGCCTATGATGATAGCATGGCTTAGCTGGGATCATCAGAGGCTTTTAAAAGCATTTTTTCTACAACCTCTTAGGCCGAGGAGGTTATAGAAAAAATGTTTTTAAAGGAAAAAAAACATCTGCCGATCAGGCAAGTCAGCTGGGATCGTCAGAAGCTTTTTTTAAAAAAAGAAAGCCTCTGCCAATCAGGCAAGTCAGCTGGGATTGTCAGAGGCTTAAAAAGCATTTTTTTAACAACCTCTTCAGCCAAAGTTGTACAAGAAATGGTTTTAAAAGTAAAAAAAAAAAAAAAAAGTTGACAACGCCTACTCAGTCATATTACTTCTCCCCCAACCAAGCCACGCCCACACAACCGGTAGTGACAAATTTTACATTTCACCACTGATCTATTGTGTATAAAAAGTGTATAAAAAGATGCAGCAGATTTACAGATTTTACAGATGAAATCTTGAAAAAAAGCATACAAAAGCTTGATGGCACCTGCCGTAACGTGCCTTCCAAAAAGATAGCAGGTGCACTTTTATTCTTTAGAACCAAAATTGGATATACGCTTGATTTAATAATCTGCTTCAATGTGCCTGTAACTGTTTCAGTGTGAGATCTTTAATTAGTACTAACTTTTCACTTCTTAGAATATGGACAAGAAACACGAGACACGTGGAGAAAGCTCCATGAACTGTGATATGCTGGAGGTTCAGTTGAGGAGAACTGATTATATAGTTGGCAGATAATCATTTCTTCTTCCTTTGTTTATGAACCAGCAACATTGTTATATTACAGCTGTGTGCCTCCTATGCTACTGTGCTTTCTCTTTTTCCAAAGACCCACTAAAAACCTCTAACCCTAAGCATCTTGGAAGCTGAATGCAATGAACAAGTGAACAGCCTACTTATCCATATAGTATGTCTATGATTATATTCTGAAGCCAAAACTTATTTTTTAAAGGACTGCACCTGTTAGAATCAACCCAAAACTTTTCAAGCAGCACTGTGTTTCACAATACTATATAATACAGTGTTTCACCACCTTGGCAACTTTAAGATGCCTGGAGTTCAACTCCCAGAAATCCCCAGCCAGGTGGTTGGGGGAGTTGGGAGTCCAGGTATCTTGAAATTGCACAGGTTGAGAAAGACTGGTATAATGAATCAATTATGTATTTATGTGTGGGTCTCATGATGTCAGTGTTGCACTCAGGAGACCTAGACTATCATCTGGCAACTTGCATTATTTTCATTGTCTTCTACAACTTTAGTTGTAGAAGTTATTCTTGATATTTTGATTTTCAGAATGGGAATCTGGGCTAAGAGGTATTGATTGAAAAGCTCTTACCTTACTGATCAGGCAGTTTGTGCCCTCATGCTTATAATTTAAAAAGATGTGACATAAAAGAAAAAAATGGGGCAAGGAAAGAAAAACAAGAATACTCAGGCACCAATTATTAAAGTTAGACAAAGAGTATTGAATGTATGTCCTCCGTATAAACATCAACTGTACAGATTCAGCTTTAATACTTGGGCTCTCCCTCTGCATCCTTCCCTCCTCACAACTCACCTGGGAGTGGGTGCCAAGCTTGCTACTTGCTGGTGGGAGTGAGCATTGGGAATGCTGCCTTCCTTGGTACCGGTCTGACTTTCCACGGGGAGGTCAGGGGAGGTTTGGCTAACCTTGAGGTTGGCCTCAGGATAGGAATCCATATCGAGGTATGATCTCTCAGGCATTTCAGGACCCAGTTCTACCCGCTCAGCCAGGAGATCCCCAAAAGGCGAGTGGTGGAGATGAGCATGGAGGGGATGCTCCTTGCGCTGAGTTTGTGATGAGGATCCTTTGTCTCGCCAGGGGATCCAACATAGTTTCCAAGAGACGAAAAGGGAGACGCCCAGCAGCACAATCCCACAGAAAGTCACAATCACTGACAGAAGACTAACCAGGATCTCTAGAGGAGAAAAGTGGAGAGGCAAATACCATAATGAAAGATCAGGGATAAGTTGTTTTCTATGGCCATCTGTCATCTTGGCTAGTTGAACTGTCCTCATTTACTGGCTGTTGGAGAGAACCTAGAACCTTGGGCTAGTAGCACCAACTGCCAGCGGCCAGAACACACAACAGCTCAGCTCTTTCTTGAATAGTACCATTAAACCGTCCCTGATTCCCAATTCAATCCTGTCCCCCACATTAGAAGAAGTAGCCCCAACCTGACTATGTTATGGTCTGCCAAGCATTGGAAGAGGTGTTCATAGGTGTCAATTTTTTGGTTCCAGAAGTATTTAATTGGGCATTAATTATAAACCCAGTCTTTATTAGGTGTGGAACTATAAAAAAATATTATACTGAAGGGAAATAAGTCCCCCCCCATAAATTCTACAGTCCCTCAGGATCAGTATTAAATATAAGCAGTCGTAGTTTCACATCAAAATATACTTGCCATCTACATTCAATAAATGCACAACATTCATTCCTTTTATCTTGCTATTATATATATTTTCATTATTTATGATCAAGTTTCCTAGTGTTGTTGGTACCTAAGAAAAATCTCTGATAGTCTTTAATAAATTTTTACAGATGCAGCCAAGAAGAATAGAAAAACCATTTCCCATTAAATCCTATTTAAAGACCATTTAGAACCCAATGGCACAGACACATACATAGATTTCTCAATAAATACCATAACAATTGCAATAAATATATATGTAATCAAATTATGTAATGGTTCTTCCATTTCAATGTATTTTCCATTGCACAATATTTAAACTGCTTGATTCAAAGCATTTCCCACGAAAACTCCAGAGAGCGTTCAGGATTTTCATTCTTGCAAATGTGATAAGGACTAGAAGCCTCATTTTTCTATAATACAAAAGTAGTTCAAGATTTCAAATGATCCTACAACACTCATTAGAATGTCTTTCTGTCACGTGGAACTATAAAACAACATACAGACATATTTTAGTTATTTGTTTATATATAATAACAATTTGTATCAGAGACTTCTATGCCACTTCAGTCCAGCAACATACCAACAAGACCCATGAACTAGACCATAATTTTTCATTATTCTATTCCGATTTCCTCTATGGATATTATAGATCAAGATTCTCACCTGTGTTGATGGGACCCACATGCCCTGTCAGTTCCTGACACTTTTCACGTTCCTGGGCAGCACATGTGTTGGAACACAGCACATGAAGGAGCTCCATTGCCTTGCGATGCCTATCCTCATCATAATCTCCTGACATGATGCCTAAACAGCAAGTAGACATTGTAGATATTGTATTGCATGTTAAAAATGTCATTCTATATGACCTTGGGCCATGGTGAAATCAGCAATGCAGGTTGTCCTAGCAGTAAAGTCCCTGCTGATTGTTATTGCTGGCTGAACTTTGGGGTGTCCTTACATTACATGCTAAAGAATTTAGATTCAGTCCCTGCTCTCTTCAATGACCAGATGAGTCATTGACAGGCAGAGGAGGCTATGTTGAATTACATGATCAAACATGCCAACCTTGTTTTTTTTAAAAAAAAAAAAATGCGTAAGTACATCCTTTATTTGAGGGGCTCAAAAATGTCTGGGTGCCACTTAGATTATGCTACCTTCTGCATTTATTTTAGCTACTGATGCTGAAGCTGAAATAAACAGCTCACCCAGGGGGGAAAAAACAGACCAAATCCACCCTCCATATCCTCTTACCCTGTCTACTCTGGGAAAAACTGAAGTTTTGATGGTTGAAGTAGGCACAAAAGTAATATCGGGGGTAACTGGAGGAACAACTGGGGAAGCAAAATATATCCAGTATCAGAACTCTGAAGAAACAATGTGTAGACATTGTCTATAGATGAGGACCTGGCTACCTTAAGAGAGAAGCCATTTTCGTATTTTCTTTACATCAGCTGAAACTGATTCATACTGCCAGAGGCTAAAATGGATAGCATGTGCAAAATGCATGGAAATTACAAAGCAGGCTTGGTATCTATTTTATGTACTATAGTTTTGGGTGAACAGGGATTGAACACCAACCTATGTCTTATCTATGATTCAGGCAAAGGCAGCATCTCAACTGACCACCACCAAATGCAAGGAAGAAATACAGTGGCACTAGGTCAAGGCTGAACGCTATTGCATTATGTCTCCCCCAAAAATAATTACCTGGGAGTTACCTTAGCTTGGCTGATCAGAGGCAGACCAAAGTTTAAGTGTAGATCCGGATTTAATTGGCTAAAAAGGGACTCTCAGTATGCTTAGGTCTGTGATGGTCTTTCAGCCTAACATCCCAGATGTTGTTCTTGGATGGTGGAACAGGCAGGCAAGGGTGGAGAGGAAGCACATAAGTGGTGGAGCTTTGGGGACAGAATGTGAGAATGTGAGCATGAAGAAGAGGGACGCCAGGTGCATTGGTGCTGGCTTACTACAACTGGAAGTAAAATGCAGTAAATCCCTGATGAAATTATGCCCAACTAATATCACTGGAGGCAATAAATATGTGTTGATGCATTCCAAGGAAGGAAGGGCTTTGGATAAACTTAAAACCATAAGACATTAGCCTTGGCTGACGACTGGTCACAAGGACCTGGAGAATGTCAGTATCAAGACATTACTTCAAACTTACTAGTAAAGCAATAGACATTTATAGCAAATAATTCCAATAGGAAGGAAAGTTATCAGAGGTAGATACCAATTTGCTGTGGATGCTCTCTCATTTAACATTACCCATATATAAAGATGTAACATCTGTTGCTAAGCTCAGTTTCAGATATGCTCTAAAGGAGCCAGCAACATGGCTAGCAACGCATCAGCTCAAATTCATTGTCTCACACAAAGAAAGAAGACATTTCACCAAGAAATAGCAGCCATGAATAACAGAAAGATAAATTATCTAAATGTAGCACTGATTCTCAGGCTGAATTCACTTCAGGACCCCCAGCCCATAGTACCAGTTACCTCAGCTACTTATTAGCCATGAAACTTGAATTGTTAAATAAATGCCCTCCCAAATGGGAGTGGGCAAGAGATTGAGCATGCAGACCATGGCCCAGTTTTCAACATCAATATACCTGATGACCTTGGCTGTCATATGTTTGGTGCATTAGTGATTCATGGCCAGCTTGTGTGCCAGCTCATGGCCAGTTTGTGTGCCAGCTCATGAACATGTGGCCAACAAGTGTACAGGGAAGATGATAAATGGAGATCTTCTCATTCTTCCTACTTGTACAACCCAATGTAAAAGAGGGGCAGGATTCATATATACCATAATGAGATTTGTTTGATTTTGTCTGTTAGGCATATTGATCTATTGTGATCTATCAAACATGGTTTATATAATACATTATGACAAGCTATCTAATTAGCATTCTCTACACATGCGTTACTGTGATACAGGAACTGTTTGGAAAGGGGGATTTATTAACCCATGGCAGCTAATACGCTGCAGTAGCATTTCAAAAGACTACTAGCATTACTGTGATGAAAAAGGCTCCAGAGTCCATGAACATTTATACCATAAAAATTCATTAGTCAGGCTGTCTAAGGCAGTCTGCAGTTACTAGAGGCCTTCCACCTGTTCTAGATTTCAGTAGTTAAGGGGTTGGATCAGGATAGGGTGAGCCAAGTATAAATGCAGACTTGGCCAACAAAAATTAATGGGTGACTTCAGGCCAGGCCACTCTCAGCCTTGTTTATCCCACAGCAAGCCTGTTTTGAGGGATTGGAGGAAACATGGAAACAAACAAATAGATAACTCTCGTTCCTACCTAGAATATTATGAGAGCTGAATTCCAATGTACCTGAATGTCAAAAGCATTGAGGACATTGCTCTAAATTCTACAAGATTTGTATGTGTCTGGAGAGAGGTTGAGTATTTTCTGAAGGAGCTTGCAGCAACTGGTCATTTAGGCTTCAAGGTATTTCTCAGCCAAATAAGAAGCTAGGCTAAAACCTATGTGGCAAGGATTTTAAAATGCAGGACCCTGAGCCTTTTGAAAGAGAAGGTGTGATGATTGATAGGGAAACATAGACACACTGACCTCTCTTTCTCCCCCCATTACTCATACTGTCTCTCCTTGATTGGGCCCAGAGGACAACGGTGCTGGCAGCTGCCCTACATACAATAACTCAAATGCGGAGAGGGGATTGTTCAAAACTGCTATAAAAGATAAAGGTTATAGGTTTGGGAGCTGCTCCATACATTCCAATTCTTATTGTTCAATCCTGACAGTTCTAATTTTAGGAATAAAGCCTTTTTTCAGCATTTTATTCCACAATGCATCTATTTTTATTCTTTTGTTTCTTTTCTTTTTTTTAATGATAGGAACAATGGTGCAGACTGAAAACAATAAAACAGCAACCACAAATGACCCATGGATAAAAAGGTATAAAAGTCAATAAACAAAGGGATGTTGGTACAACACTAATGTCATTAATATTATTAATAATAATATTTAACCTCCACCCTATCTCTGAACTCTATGTCAATTTCTTTTGATAGAAAAGAAATAATTAGAAAGAGTGGATTATTTACACAAATAAAGAAAAATTTTCAAAATGCATCTTAATTCCAGAATCAGCATTACTAATTACAGTACAGATATTAATAAGACAAACCTCCCCAATCCCAAATCCTCCCTTGATTTCTAGAACTATAATAAACCACTTTGTCTGGACTTCTTGACAATTAGTAATGAGGAACAGTATCAACTATTTTGGGAACCCGTTGACATACTCTGCCCTCTGTTCAAAATCTCACCTGGTGAACAAACTGGCTCAGTTGATGGCTGTCAAGTTGCTTCGGGATTGCTGGATCCAGGATGCCAACTGACCCAGTCAATGCCAGGCAGCAGAGGAGCAAGAAAGCAATCCAAAGTTTCTGATGAACTGAGTCCATATGTGAGAGGCTGCAAGCTGGAAGTAGGACACTGGATCTGCCATCCAGGGCACCGCTAAGTCCACAAGTTGCAATTTGTTGTGGTGGTGGTGGACAACTGTGCCCTTCGCAAGATGCTGGATGGAACCAGCTGCTGAGATCAAAAGTGATTGTGAGAAGTTTTCAGTGTGTCTGGCTGGCTTTACAATGTCTAAACGAGATGCCAGATCTCCAACTGAGTTCTGGGGGGTTCTTCATTATTTTCTAAATCCTCCATGAAATTGGTTGCCTGCAAATTAGATCCCTGCTATTGCCAGTCTCTTCAGTTAGGTGGCCAGCTGCATGAATTTTAAAAAAAAAGTGTCAGATATGGACTCCTGTTCTGCTTTTGTTATTTCTCATCGTCCTGGTTTTAGCCAATCTGTAAGTCTAACAGAGGGGACAAGGTATATAAATCTAAACTCTGGACCATGTTGCACTTAAAATAAAATTATTATGCCTCAGAGTGTTACAAAATGCTATTAAAGGGAAGAATATTTTCTCCTTACTCATTTTGAGTTTGCTCTGCAGTTCACAGAGGCATTATTGGGGACTCTGGATTATTTATCTTTGCCGAAAGAAGGCAAATATGTTTTTTATGGGGGCCAATAACGTCACTTAAAGTTTCTATATTAGACTAAGCAAAGTAAGCATGGTAATTATTTATTTAGCAATCATTATAATCCACTCCCAACCATACTCTGGGCAGTGGATATTAGTCACAATACAATCCTTCCCCAATTAAAAGAATTAACACACAATTAATTATATTGGTCATTTCCCCCCACCCAGAAGCCTAAGAGCTAGCCTGCTAAAATAGTATGAATTTAACTTGTTTCTTAAAAGCATTGAGGATACCAGAGATGAAAGGTTCTATCTATAAAATGGGGGCCACCTCCAAGAATTTTATAAGTCAGGGGTCTCAAACTCACATGATCACGGCATCGTCACATGATGTATTGGGACTTCCCCCCCTTCGCTAAACCAGGTATGGGCGTGGCCAGCACGTGACACATCTCCCCGTGGGCTGGGAGTTTCTAAGTGGTAGTGTTGGCAGGAATGGCTAATCATTTTTTACATCAGGACTGTTCTAGGTTTATGTTTCGTTTCCTGTAAATTTCCTACAACTTTATTAGGTAGAGTCAGAGAAATTCTTGAGGTAACCACCCAAAAATTATTCAGGAACCACATTCCATCTTGAGGTCAGAGCTTATAGTTTCTACTACTTGCCTTACAAAGGGGCAAAATGAACAGACAAACAGTAAAATCCAAAAAACCTTGCTGAAAATATAAATGCCTGAAAAATAGCCTGAGACTGTTTGGGGTTATAATTCAGATTCTTCTGGAAACCCAAAGGAACTTATGGCTAGGGTTCTTGGATTCTCTACAACCAATACATATTTTAGTAGATTAGGCTATAGAAAGAAAAACATTGATTATTCTGGGTAGGAGCAGGATAATTTGAGGAGAGATGAAAGTCTGCACCTACTTTTTTCCCCAGCATCTGGGGCAATTACTTGAACTTTTCCCTAAACAGAATAGCCATCAGAACTCTGCTTGTACAGGTATTTCAGACCAGAGAAGGAAAGCATTTGCAATTTAATTCTAATTAATTAATTAATTTTGCATCAGACCAAATTAAGAGACTGAATGAATGGAGACTGTGATGGATATCATGCTGTTTCTTCCTTTTTCTCTTTCTTCAAGTTTCTTCTAGAAAGGCAGGAGTCACCCAAGACTGGCTAATAATAGGATTCTCCTGTTCCCCAACAGAATAGCAAGTCATCCAAAGGGGAAGAGAGAAGAGGACCTTTAGTTCCTCAGTTCTCCCCTCCTCTGAATTCTGCTGCAGCTTCTTCCATCTGTTATTGCTGCATCTTTGCTGGAGTTACCAGTGTTCCTGCTCAGAATAACAAGTATTAAGGGATGAGTAGTGTAACTCCTCTCCCTCCCTCCCTCCCTCCCTCCCCCTCTCTCTCTCTCTCTCTCCTCTCACTCCTTTCTTCTTTTCCTCCCTCTCCCCTCTCCCTCCCTTCCTCTCTCCCCCTCCCTCCCCCCAGCACACACCAATCGTATCTTTCATGCCTGACTGACATTGTTCTAATCTATACTATACCGTCCATCTAAAGTGATCATGCCCCAAACTCTGTTCATTTTTATATCATTGTCACCCAAAGAAATAAACATTCAAGTATTATATTATCACATTCTTATATGGAGATAATCCACAGTGCCTAAATGTCATTTCGGTTGTTATCCATAGATTAAAAGAAACAAACTATTGTAGGAAGTTAGCACCCACCCCTCTCCTAGAAAAATGAAATATTCTAGGAAATATTAAAAAGGCAGAATATATCCCCTAATAGAGAAATAGAAATCTTAAGACAGAAACTCAGCCCCAGCTCCCTGCCTCCAGCCGATACTTTGGTTATTTACAAGACAAAAGGCTGAGGCAGCTTATCTACAACACAAAAGACCTTCACCCTCAGGACATAATAGGATTAGCCCTCTACCCATCTCACCACATGGCACCTGGGAAGATTACATCACCCAGCAAGATTCAACCAAGTATGGGAGTAAGACAACCAATCAGGATACATTTCTTGCCACAGGAACAGGAAGCAAGTTAAAAGAGAATATAAATCTCTCTCCCTTTCTCACCCATGTGCTCTTTTTGCACAGGACCTCAAACCACGTGGTCCTGTCCACCATTAAACCATCTTTCCAAGCAGTCTCCCTGTTTCCAGTGTCTTTCTTCCCACTTGGAACTGAACCCAGATGGACATTTCTTCCAACACTATGATGCTAATGAAGCAGTACTTCATCCTTATTTTAAAAATAATCTTGATGTAGGCTGTCCACAGTGATCAGCTTCCCAATGTTATCATGCTGATGACTTCTCTGATAGTTTGTCTGAGTTATAGCCAACAATGATTAGCCATCACAGCTAAATACTACTTCAAGAGTAGTATTTAATAAATGTGAGAAATATCTGGTAGAAGAACCATAATTCCCTTGGGAAATGAAATGCTGGTTACAAGGGACTTTCTTTGGCCAGCAAAATCATGTCACAGCTATCGTAGGACCTGACCTCATATAGTAGCTAATTAATTTGCAGAGCAGCTAACCTTTACACAATTATTTTTATTACAACAGCTACCTATTCCCTCCTTCTGGCTAGTAACATATTGCCACTATCTGAACTTACCCATGCTTCACCAGCTCTTTAGGACATCCCAAGTACTGTATTTATTATTCTTTACTTGCAGACTCAGTATTCTGGAAATAAGTTTAGGTTTACAAGTTTTGTTTACTTGCTGAACTAAATTTCCATTCAGACACACATTGATATCAGTTGTCATTCCCCATATGTCTAAAGAAGCTGCCAGAAAAGTGTGAAAGGTTGAGTTATTTGTTTGATGCATATCCTGGCTTTAACTCAAGAGCTTAAAGAAGCATAAACAGCACTCCTTTCTTCTTTTGTCCACAATAAAAACCCTGTGAGGTAGACTGAGAGGATGACTTGACCAAACTTATTCAGGGAGGTTTTGTAGTTGAAGGTGGACTAGAACTTGAGCGTCTCTAGTACCAGTCCAGTTCCTTAACTATTACATTGTATTGCATGTGCTCAGGCTAGGTTGAAAAAAACATTACTGTAATCATATTGAATGGCTGTCAATCCAAGGGCTAAATCATACAAATCATACAAGAGCTCACCTGCTCAGGAACAATGCTTAACAGAAGAGTAGAAAATGCAGAAATATGTATGTGAAACAGACAGATGTCTCTACCAATTGATATAGCCAAGAAAACTCATGTGTGATTCCAAGATGTCATATTGTACTTGTGCAGATATAAATTCAAATAAAGTCTCATCAAATATGTATGTTTGCCTGCTTTGGGGAATACAGAGCCTATGTGGCCTAATTTACACACTCCTGGTGCTTTAGCAAGTGTAGGTGCATATTAGCAAATTGAGCATTTGCTGTTTTTAAAGCATTAAACCAGTGGTTCTCAACCTTTTCTTTACCATGGATGCCCTTTAAACATCTTTTGTGTCCAAGGACTATGGCCATGGGCCCCCAAGATTTAAGATTTAAACCATAACATTTCTTCAAACCTTCGCGGACCTCTTTGACAACAAAAACATCACAGAGGACTGGTCATCATTCACTGGAACTGAATTTCTTTTACTTGCTATATCAACTTTCCTTGAGTATCTGGAGTTCAATCTTGGACAATCTGCTCCCTTAATTCCCCCAGTCAGCAAAATCAAAGGACAATTACGAGAAGTAATTTGTCTAGCACTGCTGGAAGGTACCAACTGGCAATACTGCAAAAATACTTGTGATTGGAAAATCCTCTGCATGAGCCTATGAAGAGCAACTGCCAATTAGAGTAAACAATATAGAGTTAGGCAGATGAGTTCTAGGCTGGTATATGATAACTTCATTACAACTTTGCAAATGTGTGAACCAAGGGTGGGTTCTAAATATTTTTACTACCAGTTTTGTGGGTGTGGCTTATTTTGTGAGCATGGCTTGATGGTCATGTGACAATTCTTTAGGATTTAGCAGAGGTACTGGTCTACCAGGCTTTTAACTGCTTGCAGAGCTGTACCGGTCTACTCATTTATTTTTACAAGCACCGGTCTACTCATTTGTTTTTGGAGGCACTGGTCTACCCATTTATTTTTGGAGGCACCAGTCTACTCATTTGTTTTTGGAGGCACCGGTCTACCACCACACTGCCTTTTAACACTGATCAGCTGTAGGGCGGCCCTTTGAAGCCCTGTGGCAAGAGTTTTAACAGTTTTTTTCCTTCTAGCCAATCAGCTGGGACTCAGGAGGCAGCAATAGATTGGGGGTGGGCCAAATAAAAGGTAAGAATAACACGGGGGCGGGGGCGGGAGAACTGGTTCGGTGATGTCATATCGTCACCACTACCGGCTCGGCGGAACTGGGAGGAACCGGGAAGAACCCACCACTGTTGTAAACTCAGCCAAGTATCGTAAGCTTAAAAGCAGCATCCTATGATCCTGCTAAACCAAGCTAGATTGTCACAAATATATCACACTAGGAAATGCCAACGCATATCAGTGCCTTTATCTTTCTAGCCCTCTTTTTGAGATCACAAAAATCCTGCCTGCCCAGAGTTAACAGGTCATGCAGAAGAGCACCAAATCTACTTCATAAAGCATTTGACAGGAGAAAATGAATTCTGACAGGCTTGTGTGGACCGAAGTGCACATTTTTATAAAGAGACTGTGTTGAGGTTTGTTGAACTTGTCTCCTGCCTCATAAGCCACACCCATGGGATGGATCCCTCTTGTCTAGGGAAGGGCTGTGGGATGTTCTACACTATCGACAAACTAGATCTGGGTGCAAATTCTTACTTGGCTGTTTGTGGCAATCATAAAATAGCCATTGCCTCATATCGCTGTTGTGAAGAAGTAGCAGAGAAGCACCTACAGAATCCACTCTGGAAAAACATAGCCAGAAATGTTACTATTAAATTTTGCAAGCTAATGCTTAGGAAATGATAGCTAAAAGGGGTATAGGAAAAAGGATTCAGAAACAATTTACCCCTGACACATTGCCATTCAATGTTTTATTGAGCTGCTGTATATTTTAAATAAGATTTAAAATTATAGACAAACTGGAATAGTAATTTGTTACTTTGCATTAGGTATTTTAAAAATATCATAAATATTGTTGAAGGTGAATTTTAGCATTTTGTCCTCATCTTATTTTACATTGGCTTAAAGGTTAGAATAAAATAAAATCTGCTAGTTTTTATTCTCATCCCCATAAAAAAATCTACAAAAATGTGCCTAAAACAAGTTGTATACTGGCAACCAGTTATTTTTAAAAAGATTTTTTAAAAGAGAATTTACATGGGATAAATTTTATTTTATAAGTTTTTAATGAGAATTTTGTATGGGAAATTCATGTGATAAAAATAAAATCAATATGTAAGGTAAGTCTGATTAAAATTTACTTCTCAGGAGAAAATATTAGAAACCTATAAAGTGTAACAAGGCATATAAAATTAACTACATCTTTTTATTAAAAAATTAGATACTTTATAGTTTCAAAAGTTACTTTTAAGGGAAGAAAATCACAGAATGCTAAAACTGTCTTAACATGTTGAAGCCAATAGAATTTTAATGATTTGCATGTTTGTACTCAACTTACAACCACAATTGAGGCCAGAATTTCCATTGCCAAGCAAGGCAGTTGTTAAGTGAGTTGCATCTGTTTTATAACTATTTTGCATGGTTTTTAAGTGAATCACTGCACTTTGTTAAATGAATCATGAGATCATTAAATGAATTTAGCTTCCTCATTGACTCTGTATGTCGGAAAACAGCTGGGAAGGTTGCCAATGGAGATCGTGTAACCCCAGGATGCAACAACCACTGTAAATACATGATAGTTGCCAAGCACCCAAATTGTGATGTGATTATGCAGCTGTTCAAGAGTCATAAGTGCAGGACTGGTTGTAAGTCATTTTTTTTCATGCTGTCTGGAGAATTCTGGGAGTTAAATTCAGACATATTAAAGTCGCCGAGGTTGAGAAACATGGCCTTAACGCTTTTCAAAAGGCAGGCAGGGTCAGGGCGAAAAGGCTCTCAGGGGGAGGCTGTTTCAAAGAGCAAGGGCGGCATTCTCGCAATATGGAAGTGATGGTAATCTGCAGTGCCCTCCAATTTCAATGGATGCTCTTTTCATCCTGCAGTATGATACCAACAAGCAAGGGCATTTTGCCTCCTGTTTTAAGCCACGGGTGCACAATTGGCAGGTCTCTCAAGGTTTTGGGTTTGGCGCTCTACCCCTTCCTCAGCTGCTGCAGATTTTCAATAAGTTAAAAAAATAAATATAATTCTTTTACCTTGGCTAAAATAGAAAGGAATGGAATTTATATAAAAAGAAAGGGTTTAAGAAAAATGTGATTTTAACACATCTGCTTTCCTCTCATCCCACATATGTGCTGCTTGGGACACATTCCACGCACCCGATTTGTGATGTCAATTTTGTGCGTTCCCACTTTAGGCTATCCTGAGAGCTGATGCAGAAGGACAGCTCATTGATTCTTGAACTAAAGAAAGAAATGATGCAGCTTTCAGCTGGAGCTCTTCCATGGCTCTTTGAAAAGAAAGATCCGTCCCAGATCTGGATGACACTACGGTCATTTGAAGAAGAAAGTAAATGGGCCAGCGAAATTCACATGAAAGGAATTGAATTCTCTGGTGGGGTCGGATTAATAGACTATTTGATAAAAGCCCTGCTGATTAGACTAAAGGCCTTTGGAAGCCAACATCCTGATCCCCAAAAGGCTTAATCAGTGATCTCAAGGGAACTAAGAAGGCCATGAGAAGTTGTACAGTAATTACTGCTCAGTAAATGCTCTTTCTACTCTTGGAGAGAATGTATCACTTGCAGCAAATATAAGGTGACCAGATTTTAACATTGGTAAAGAGGGACACCATTGACCCGGGGGGGGGGGTTTCTAATTTTTTTTTACTACCAGTTCTGTGGGTGTGGCTTATTTTGTGGGTGTGGCTTGGAGGTCATGTGACTGGGTGGGCATGGCTAGCTGGTCATGTGACCAGGTGGCCATGGCTATATGTATACTATAGGGACTACTCAGAGGGCTGAAAAAAGGCATTTCTGACAGGTCCTCGCACTTTTGACTGGTCCTCACACTTATGATCATCCTCACATTTATGCCCGTGCAGCATTCTTAACAACCTTTCGCCGTGCCCTGAAAACTTTTCTTTTCCATCAAGCAGGGCTGGCGTGAACCCCCTCCCCCTTTTTTAGTCTTTTTAGTTTTTTAGTTTTAAATTATCATGGGGTTTTAATTGAATTGTTTTAAATTGGGCCAGTTATGTAATTCTTTTAACAATTTTAAATTTTGTATCGGCATGTGTTTTAGTTCTGGCTGTTCACCGCCCTGAGTCCACTAGGAGAAGGGCGGTATACAAATTGAAATAAATAAATAAATAAATAAATAAATCATGTCACTCATTTCACAACTGCTTCTCTTCACCATGGTGACAAGATAGGGCAAAAAACATAAAATGTGAGGACAGTCGTAAATTCGAGGACCATTTCTGCTTTCAACACAATATATAATTAATAGTATCTCAATTATTACAATTCCCTAGTTAAATAGAGCTTTTTTCTTTTTGTGTTTTAAAATCTTGAACCTCCTCTTTTGCCCTAAATTTCCCATTGTTTGCAGTTTTGCACCTCACTTTTTTGGTGAGGAAAAAGAAAAAGAAATCTCTCTCTGCCTCATTTTGCAACGTTGCAGCAAAGACCCTGCTTTACTTTCAGTTTCGCTTTTTCAGCATAGTTAGGGGGAAAAAACATCTGCTCCAGCAATTTACCTCTTTGCAGCTAGCTAGCAACAGAGCCCTCCGCAAAACAGCTGAGAGCAAATCAGCTGAGAATCGGGAGGCTGATCAAATCAACTTATGGTACTTAACCTATGCTGAAGCTGAAAGGGGCTGTTTTTTCTATTTTTGCAGGCACCAGTCTACTCATTTGTTTTCTTTTAACACTGATCAGCTGTAGGGCAACCCTTTGAAGCCCCATGGCAAGAATTTAAACAGTTTTTTTCCCTCTAGCCATCAGCTGGGACTCAGCAATAGATTGGGAGTGGGCGGGGTAAGCGAAGGGGGACCTCCTTATCAGCCTTGATGATTGGAGGATCATGAAAACCGATCTCTTGCCTGAGGTTGCAAAAGTTCAGCTTCAAGAAAGATTCTATAACCCAACATTTTCCTCCCAAAGCCTTTCTTTTAGATAAGAAAATATTCTGCCTCTGAAGATTCATGTAGCATAAGAAAGGTAGGCAGGAAATAAACAATCATCAATGAAATTATAATATAGAAAAATACAAAGTAGAAACAATAAGAACTAGGCATCTCTAATTCTATTAAGGGAATAGTGGAATACCAATAAGTGATCAGTCTACAGCAAAAAGAAAAGATGAACTAGACCAAGGATGGGCAGTTATGGCCCCTTTATGACTTGTGGACTTCCACTTCCAGAATTCCTGAGATAGCAGATTGTAAAGGGGTCATAGCTGCCCATCCCTGAACTAGACCCTACAAAAGCTTCTCTTCTCTTCCTTTCCCTCCCTCCCTCCCTTCCTCTGTGTGTGTGTGTATGTGTGTGTGTGTACATGTGTGTGTATACATGTGTATGTGTGTGTGTCAGTGGTGGGTTTCTACTAGTTCACCCCAGTTTGGGCAAACTGGTAGTGGCAGCAGCGGGAGGCTCCGCCCACTCACCTGGACATCATCATGGACGCTCTGCGCATGAGCAGAAGCACCATGTGTGAGCAAAGTGAGCGCGCCTGCATACATACATGCAAGTTTTTATGTTCAACATAAAAACTAAATATAAATTAAAGCGAAAAATATAAATTAAAGCAAAAAAAAAACAAACATAAAAGTTGGTACAAGTTCCCATTCAGAAGACAACCCATTTTTCTCAGACTTAGACAAAAAAGTTTCAAAGATAAAAAAAATGTCTGTGTTCAGAAGACAAGCAGGGATTCAATTGCAAGCTGATGGAACTAGATCCTGAAAGGTCTTGATCATCATCTTTTTTAAAAAAAAAGTAGGGCACATTTTTAAAGCTCCCACTTCTCAACTCCCAATCATTCCTCCTAGATGGGTCTGTAGGAGTCCCAATTGTTCATACAATACAGTGTCCTGAGATTGTGTGAACCTTTCTCATTGTGACTTTTTTAATCACCCGTGATTGAAGAAATTATGGCATGGTGCAATGTAAAAATTCAATTTAAATCTCAGTCTCAACCCCCATTTCCCACCTTATCACAAGTGGAGAGAGAAGTTTTAGAAATGTTCTAAGTCTTAGCTATACACTTAAGCTATAATTTAAAAGCTTTTAGTGTGTTACATTTGTTATATAGTTCTTGAATATTATGCATCAATTTGATGCATGAATTGTTGGATGATTCTTGTAGCTATCCAGTCTGTGACATTTCAGAATAAAATTGTCACGTTGCGTTGGGTAAAAAACAATGGTTCATTTACATTTACTGATAGATATAACATGCTTTAGTTTCTATCAAAAACATATATAATACTTGCATAGCAAGGCCAGTTTGTGTCCAATATGATGTCACATGACCTTATATTTATCACAGCAAAACAGAAATAGAGTTGAAACACGATCACTTTGTATTTGTGGATATCTAGAATCAGAAGTATATACTCATATACACGCACCCCTCAAAAAATTGCCCAACTTGAGACTTGATTGTTCAGTAGTATATTACATATTTGCTGAAAAGGGAATACGAAGAAAGCTAAATCCAGTTGAAACAGCTGACTGACTATGCAACCAACCATAATAATAATTTATTAAACTTGCATGCTGCTCAGCTCTCAATTACTTTGCGTAGCTCACAATAATCAAAACAAAGAAATTACAATAAAATCAATGAAACGTAAAAGGTTATATGGAAGAAGAGCACAACCAGCCTTCTCAAAAAATTTGAGCAGAACAAAATTTGAACATTTTGTTGCAGGGCTCACTTGTGGATCTTAAAATCAACAGTAAATTCCTCCCAGCTCCAAATCACCCACACAAAAGGAGAAAAGATTAGCTAGTTACATATAGTTGGCTATTTTCCTTTGTCCCTTTTCTCCTATTTTGCTCTTATTCTAATTTCCTCTTTCTCAGCAATGTTTCCTGAATGCAACAGAAGATGAGTTCAGCCTGTGTGCTCTCCAAATAGCCTATTAGTTGGCCAACAGAATTACATGCATGAATGAAAGCAGATGCATCCAACTCGCAGCTGAAGGTTGCATATGGTCTACCAAGGCTTTGAGGCAACCAGAATCTTTCTAAAAGTTGCTGATGATCTACAGTATTTAATGTAACAAAATGGAAAAATAAAGACATATAGATGCACTTGTATTAAAATAATATTAAATCCAAATTAATTAAAATTACATTAAATTTGGTCTGGTTCCATGAATTTTTGGTAGTGAAATTGTTGGTGTACCAGTCTTAGGCCCCCCCTCGGCCTATTTTCTTGCACCAAAGTTTCTTGCACTAAACACAGGGCTCAACTTCATCCTGTTGCAAACTCTTCTGTTTCTGTGCCAATTTTACTGAGCTTTAACAAGAATATATCAGAGCAGTTTGGACCATGGTAGCCTTTTGCTTAGCACACAATAGCATTGCTTAGATATGGCAGTGATAACAACTTCTTCAGATAATAACGTATGTTTTTATTTGTTCTTGTCCGTTAAAGTGGACAAGATAATCAAAAATAGTCTAATCTTTTTCATATTTCACCTTCTGACCAAAAGATAAATGCCTATTGAAAGGAAACTTGCAAACTTCTTAAAACAAATACATTTAATGAATAATGCTAAATTCTGAAGTAGCACTATGTACAGGTTTACACATAAGGATAAGTTCAGCCTCAGTGGTGCAGCGGACTAAGTGCTGTTAAGTGCTAGCACTTAGCTGCCAGCTGCCTGCAATTAGTGCGAGTTCAAATCTCACCAGGCTCAAGGTTGACTCAGCCTTCCATCCTTTCGAGGTAGGTAAATTGAGGATCCGGATTGTGGGGGCAATAAGCCAGCTTTGTATAGAACAACACCGCTTAGGGGGGCCCGAAAGCCCTAATAAGTAGGTATATATATAAAAGTATGTAGGCTATTGCTATAATGCATTGTAAGCCGCCCTGAGTCTATGGAGAAGGGCGGCATATAAATTGGACAAATAAATAAATAAATAAATCAATAAATAAATAAATAAATAAATAAATAAATAAATAAATAAATAAATATCAGAGAAGCAACACATTGAGGAGACTTATGTGAAAGATTGTAACTTCATTGTAGTGTACACTTACATGGGTGTAAATAGCAGCATCAAATAAGTCTCTTGTTAACACACAACAATGTGGTTATGATTAGAATGCAATCCTATTCAATTCCAGAGTTCCTTTTATTCAATAGGCTGATATCCTTCTTTCTAGAGCTATATCTTCACCAAACAGAACAATAAAAGGTTATGACATAAACATATGCTTTTAAATGAAGAAGCAATAGGTTTCTGCTGAGAACAGAATGTATTTACTTAACCATCTCCTTCTTTATACCAAAACAGACATGTACCTATTTTCCTGGAATTTGCCTCTTTCAGTGACGCAAGATAATTTCAAAGGTAGATAGACAGAATAATAAGAGCTATTCTTGTTGGCAAGCATCCATATTCGTTCTGTTTTTTATTGCACAATTTTGGCATTTGGATCCTGATGTTCTCTTTTATTATAATCATTCTTTTGAAATTGCTTTTAATACCTGATGTATTAGTTTTCTCCCTCCAAGGTTTGCCTTGTTATCAGCAATACTCAATAAAGCCATC